TCTGCCCACAAATCGTCATCTTTGTGAGACTTTTGCATCGCGTACTGCCGCGATATGTTGGGAAATCTTTTCCAGTTTGTGACTGGATCCGATCCTAGCGCAAAAGTGTCGATAATCAGAGCCACTGCAAGAAGGTAGTGCCACGCTAACATCCAGTGAGCACTATTTTCTGTCCATCGAAATGCTGTCCGGTTCAGCTGGGTTGTACATTTTTGAGAGTTCCATCTCCAGCAACGATGTCTCTTCTTCTGAACATGGTAAACTCGCAACTTCTTCCGCCTTGCTCGCTCCTTTCCGTTGCTTGAGTCCCGATGTGAGGCTCTACAGCGTCGTCAAGAGTTGAAATCGTCCTAAGAACTGATGCTTATATCCATAGAGTCTCTCTTTAATCCAACAAAACGCTTAAATAAAACGATGTTAATGGTCAAATGCGTATTTTCGGAATTTCAAATTTGCTCGTCAGTAGATCTGATGGCACCACCAGATCTGCTTATCAGCAGGGGATGCCCAGTGAATTGAAGTCCTTGATGAATAGGATTCTTCGCAACATTAAGATATCAGTGACAACTGTTATGCGTTTTATTTTGCAAGTTTCATCAAGTAGCATCTACTGTACAAAGATACTTTTCAGAGCCGTGTCATGCTTGAGGCTCTAAGCTAGAAAATCTGCGTGAGGATGAAGTCTGCTATCGTGTTCTCATCAAATCCATGTCACGTAGTTGACTTTCTCGAGGCTGCTGGCTAAAGAGCTCGTGTACAGCTTTCATAGCAGACGAGTTGCATTGCCGGGTTCTGTGAACTTTGGTAAGGTAACGCAGGGTGAAAACGTTTGATCGGATAATCACAAGCTGATTTTGATCTATTTTAGGTTTTGAAGTAGGTGATACCAGAACGTTAGTTGATAAATCAATGATAATAACCTCGTGAGAATTCAAGACACAAACCACACCGAGCTACAATGAAGCCTATACTCAGAAACTACTCTGCAATGTGCTAACTCGATATCAATTGCTTGCAATGAGGTCCCATGGCCTGGGCCAAAAATTGTCTCAGCGGCAAAGTATTCACTTTCTCCGCTGTCTAGATCACATCGTTGTCTCGAAGTTTATATCGAGAGAAAGTTGGGTAATCTTTTCAGAGTCTATGCAGAGGGAGGGGATCTGCTGGGAATCGCTGCTTTGCGTGCATGGTAGCAGTTCAAGCAAAATGTGACACAATGTTTTCTATTATTGAAGGCACAGTTCGCGAAATTTTTGGGTAATCTAAATTCTGACAAAAAATGGAAGATAAGATGGAAATTAGTGCGATGAAGGCGAAGAAACTGCATGAATCGGTGTTTCCGAAATGGAAAAAGGCTCCGGAAAATCGTTAAAAGGGCTGGACGAGAATGAGACCAGAGGAATTAAGACGAGTGGGGCGTTCGGACGAGCTATACAATGTGTCTTACTGCGTGCGTGTGGGTCCTGGTGCAAATAACTGACTACGGTTAGCAAAAATTCATTCACTCATAGGCATAAGTTAATAAGAAAAACCCAGTGACAACGAAAATGGCTCAACTTTTTCAGCCTCTTGGGGTAAGGAATCAAAAAAGGGATTGCGGCAGCAAAAAGAATAACAGAGAAAAAAGAACGGGAAAAAAGCATTGCCTCATCACTCGGCGATCAGCTGTTGTGTACAGGGTCCTAGAACGAATATCCGCAATCTGTAGTGCCCCGGCACTCGTCTAACGTGACATCGATCGTGAGACGGGAAAGCGACCAAGACAGAAACAGGGCTTTCGCTATGCCCTGACCGTCGAGATTTTGTGAGCGAGAGGGACAATTCTACCACCCATGGGGACCACTGAGTATTGCTAAGTGAAAACTCAGTAACCATTTTTATCGCGAACCGTGCATTTAAAGGGTGTGCTGAAGAACAATGTTGTGCTCAATACTCAGAGGATCGTCTCTGGGAAAGAAACGTGAATGAATTGGTTTTAATTTGTACTATACTATTCGACCTAAGGGTAAAGCTGCCTCGCAGAAAAGTCTTCATGTCAGATCAATATGTAATCTCAAAGGAGGTTTATGTCACGCTCTAGCAAAGCGGATTCCCAAAATCATGAGGCACGTCGACTCGGGATAGAAGAGGGGAGGGGAAGACTAGTCCTAGTCTTGAGTCCGTGTTGCGAAGCTTTCCATCATTTGCGCCAGATCACTTTTGGAACTGTACCACATTTTTCACCCTCGCAGCCATTCTCCTCATCTTTTTTGAGGAAGGTAACGTGGAACTTATATGAACTCCAAGACCAACTCCGTTACTAGGTTAGTTAGACAACTTCTCAACAGAGTATTTTGAGGGCACAGTTCACGATAATTTTAAGGTACCCCTTCTAGAATGAAAAGCGAAAGTCTTGAAGTAGAGGAGTACATCGGTAGCGAAAAAAGCAAGAAGATCCGCCTCCTTGAAGCTTTTGACAAGGAGTGAAAGTGGAGGTTGTACGAGAGCTCCGCGACAAGAATGGTATGGAAGGAGTTTTTGGACGAGATTCAACTTGCTCCAATCGTGCAACGAGCTGGCTACATCAACCCATAACTGCGCAGAATTGTCTATCAGTCTCGCTATGAGTCAACACAAGTTGTTTGAACTTCATACATCGATTACCTCTCGAATGGTGCAGCCTCTACAAAGCCGTTGAAAATCGTTCACCTGATATGTGGCATTCACTTGATACAATCTCTGGTTTCTTATTGTGCCTTATGCAAAACGTTTTTCGCCTTCAAAACGACTGAAGCAATGTCCATAACTACTATCTCGCGAGAGCAAGCACGAGTCATGAAGGAACCTCGATACATATCAAAAACTCGCACTTTAGGATTATCCGTCAATTACAAATGGGTCAAGATTGTTATGATCTTTAAGCATCTCACCACCTGATACCTCTCTTTACCTCCCGAGCTCTGCGTCGGAGTGTCAACCGCAGCTCCGTAGGCTCAACCGGGTTTGGGTCACTGAAGCCAGCCATCACTCAAGTCAGCAGGATGGGAGTTCTAGCATACTGAAGCACCTCAAAATGAAATCGCTTTGCTGCTCATTCCTGCTGATGGAAACGCATAATCTTTTAAAAGCAGAATACCTGACATCTACTAACCTACTAGTTCCTCCAATACTCCGAGCATCAGTTGTGTGAGAGGCCCTACTGATCAACCTGTTCGGTTCGTTAAAACTACTCTGTTGCAGCTTTCGAGTCCATACCATCCCACCTATCCAATACTAGAATTTTCTCAGAGTACCTTGGCGCACTATATCCGAATGTATCGTGCGCTATGAAATCCTTCGATGTAGGAGCCCTCTATACGAAGAACCGCAGCTGGTCTGCTATGGAAGCCGTACACGAGCTCTTCTGCCGGCACCACAACGATATCAGTATGCGAGGGCTGTCTATATCGCAGTTGATTGCACTAATGAAGGCTGTAATATTCTCAGGTGATCGGAAGGTATTTCGCACATATTAGGGGTTTGGCTATGGAGCAACGACGGGCACCTACTTTGACAATATTTTATGACCAGGGTAGGAGTGCCTGGGAACACCTCCCCCTACTTCACGACAGATAGATCAGTAATTGCTCCATAGTCTCTTAAACACAGGAGAATAGATGTATGTTTTGACCTACTCAACACATAGCTGGAGCATACCAAGCTATAACCAACTAGAAATTGGCTCCCTTTCTTGAGTGTTCAGGTTAAGTTTTAGGACGATATGCTTGCTACGAAGTGGTACAGAGAGCTCAGTGATAGAAACATTATTGTCGATTGTCGTTCAGCTCATCCTTTTCAGACGGAACAATCTGTTGCTGGGAACATTTTCCGCAGTGCTGCGTCTGTACTGGAGAGGATGTGCGACAGGAGTCGCTAGAAATGGAACGCTGTATAGGCTGAGGAGAATTGCTACTGCAAATTTCCGATCACTCGCAGAGCTTCATTTCGTAGCGTGATACGAAGAGATGGTAGTACCTTGACGGAAGGAAAATTCCTCTTTGTCCTGCTGGGTTCTCTCTTAAGGAGTCAGCGCTACCAGTAGGAAGTGTCTCAAGACGTAGGGTCTGTGAAACTCAGTTGTCATTATAAACGTACCACCCTCCGATCTCAGACAACACCTGTTTCGGAACGGGCTTTCCGATTTCCTAGCTACCACCTCAATGTGTGGTCTCTCCAGGTGACAACAAAGAGGATTGAACTATGCCTGGCGTGGTCTATAAGATCAGTTGCTGTGGTTGTGGGGAAGAGTATGATGGCAAAATGGCAGGACCACCCCACGTGAGGATCGTAGAGCACCTAGATGGTTAATACAGCCTACGACGACTCTATTATGGTTTTAAGTGCGGTGGGTTCCTGGGGCGGTAGACTATCCCAATAGATATGTCAAATATAGTTTCGACTTATAGGCTCCGACGAAGGCGATATTACCGAAACGTAAGCTGCGTGGATAAAGTATTAAAAATTCCGAGGGCTAATACAGCCTGCGACGAAGGTATTTCAATATGCCGAGTTTAATCGAAAGTCGGACATGGGCATAATGGAGTCGGCATTAGGCACAGTGGAGGTCGCAAAAAAATTCATTCGTGCGCCCGCGAAAATCTTAAGGCATTTTGAATACTGGTCACCAATTCAGAATTGGACCGGAGGGGAGAATGCCTCACGAGCCTTATATTAGGGCGGCTTTCTCACCATGGTTCCAATGACGGCCAATTGCAGCTGACACCAGTCCCACTACCGGTTGCTGAGTGATTTCGAGGATTTTCGATAACGATGTATGGCTCTTCTTTGGATTATCTGCGTGCTCTTGGAAATGTGCTGACGTTTGATCAGATATCTATAAAGTGTTTTTAATCCACTTCAGGTTCTGAAGAGGGCAGTGCGCCTAATAAAGTCTTGGTAACAAGCTCGTTAGACTTCAAGATACAAATCACATCAATATAAGGAGCACTTGTTGAGTTAAAATTTCTGTATTCTGTATTCAGCCTGGATGCTCCATCACCGTGTACGCTGGACCAGACAGGATTATTGGCGCACCAATTAGCAGATCCTCACATAAAGCTTCTGTGGAATGAAAGCGTGGATATAAGCGAAATGGTTGGCATCGAGCAAAGCGATATGCTAAGACTGCGTATTATGCTTGGCATAGAGGTCTTAATTATCAATTAAATCGGATCGACAATCGCTCCTCCTCTGATTGCAGCCTTCAGAAAATTTCAACCGAGTCTCTTTCGCGGTACAACGTTCGTGGTCACGTGGATAGTTACGATCAACCAGCAATAATATATCCGAGGTATGAATATCAGATTATATGAGAAGTAGAACCTCAATAAACGGAGAGTCGCGGATGTTCTCCTATCATTCGCTCCCATTACTTCTGTTCCTCAGTACATTCTCTGAAAACTCCTAATTTCCGTGGTGAATGGAAACGAATTCATGCGGAACCAATATGTACTGAAAGAAAATATTCAGATGAATTAATGAAGTCTCGTGATCATAAGAGGAAGTGGTAACGAAGCATGGGTGACGCTGCTTAGGTAGTTAAGTTCAGTGATATCTGGATTTCGAAAATCCTCTACGCTTTCCAATCAAACAGTTTTAGAAAAGCACTAGAATGCGTACAGAAAAATTAGCGAGTCCAATCATCTCTTTAATAATCAAGAGTGCCAAAGAGCGTTCTCAATAAGTAGAAAGAATGGGACCCATCTCTGGTGCGTCTAATTGAATAGTACGGCTTATTAGGCAAGTGCGAAAAAAAACGTATGGAAGCTACTCACAAGGGAAGGATATATGGTCGCAGTGACTATTCAAGATGAGATGCATACCTCAGTAGGTGGTTTCGAGAGTTGATCTCAAATCTGTGTTCCAAATCTGCGAAACGATTCTGGAAACGAAGTTACAGGACCGATGCCTCCCTTTGTTATACCACAGTAACGAACGGACGGACCGAACGAAGCCGTAACTTTGCAACGGTGACGCAGCTGATAGGACGGTGGAGTGGTAGCTACGACATCAATGTTCAGTTCCTTAATGCATGCGCTCGTTTTGCTTTACCACGAAATGTGTCCTAAACACTTGCAAAACCTTTTTGGGCTCAATGTTGAGCATTTGCGGAGCTCCCTCGCAGTTTAAGATTCTGAGGAATAGTAAATCGATGAAAAAATTCCTACCCCTACTGACCATGTCTACATGTATGCCTCCTACCCCGAACAATCGAGATAGTGTTTCGAGATCCTAAGCAGCTCCCTGCACCATCTACGGTAGACTGCGGTCGAATGACTCATCCGACCACAGCACTCTTGCAAGGGTTACGATCCGCACATTCTAGTAATACTGTCCGGCTTTCAAAGCGGCGGTACAAGTCAACTGGCATTGTTGAAGAAATACTAAGAACAATAATCAATCGCTTTGTGATGATTATCCGCTAAAATGATCAATATGATGACTGACATAATGACTAATATGTTTATCCGCTAATTCTATTCTGGAGTTTAACGTCCTTTCAAGTGGCCCTTTCATGAGGTGAATGTGGTGGTGCGGTGAGGCATGATACCACGGCTGCGCTTCCTAGTCCTACATTGTTGATTCGAAGCGGTATTCAGTAGAAGTGACTGTCGTGTAATGGGACTTAACCTTCCAACTTATCCGCTGATTTCCATAGGTGGTTAGATCGGTCCGCTTGTTTTGCACCTGATGTAGTTGATAGATGCGACCACATAACATATCAGGATTGTCAGTAACAGACTCTTCTACCAACGCCTCTTCTAAAATTGGAGCTCATCGGCCAGATCACAAACTCGAAGGTTCCTTCACTTCGGAACCTCTATATCACTCCGAAGGTACGAGGTTCCTTCCGCGAAGTTACGGGCTCATCTTCGCTGTCATCATCAGGTGACCGCAAAGGATCATTGTGACTGCCTTTCACGGACTCCACTTCTCGCAGTGGATAACAAATCGTTTTTATAGCATCGAGCAGTACGGTTCGAATCTCTTCATTACCTCCTCTTCCTAGATGGCGCCCACGGTTATTCTACGAGAGCGAAAGTCCGTCATCAAGTATGATGACACCACCTTAATTCAAAAGATTTGCTGGTAACATGTAGAGAGCGTTTGACCAGATGAATCATTTAGAACCTTTTTTCTTGAAGCCTATTGAGCCCATTTTGAGCGAATTTGAGCGAATGTTTGAAATTCCTCTTTTGTTTGAATGTAGCTTCACCCTTATTCGGCTGGTTAGGGGCAAAAAACCTTCCTTGTAATACCTTTTGAGGTTCCTTAATCGAGAGAGAGCTGGAAAAGCAAAGCAGAGGTTATGAGTACAGCCGTGGTATCATGCCTCACCGCACCACAACATTTGCCTCCTAAAAGGGCCAATTAAAAGGACGTCAACCTCAGGAATAGAATTAGCGGATGATCATATGTGCACAGAAAGCGATAAAATATTGTTCTTCAGTATTTCTTCAACAATGCCACTTGACTTGTACCATCGCTTCAAAAGCGCGGACAGTATTACTATAATAGAATGTGGGGACCGTAACCTTTGCAAAGAGGGCTGTGGTCGAGAGTTAATTGACCGGCGTCTACCTTAATTGGTGCAGGGAGCCGTCGAAGATATCGAAACACTATCGTGACTGTTCGGGGTAGGAAGGCGTACACGTATATACGATCAGTAGTGGTAGGGACTTTTCAACGAATTACTATTCCTAAATAGTGAATAAGCTCCTAGATGCTCGACATTGAGCCCAAAAACGTTTTGCAAGCGTTTAGGACGCATTTCATGAATAGCAAAACGAGCACATGCATTAAGGAGCCGAACTTTGATGTCATGCCTACCTATCCACCGACCTATCAGCTGCGCCACTGTTGCGCAGTTACGGCTTTGTTCGTCTCGGTGATCCGTTCGTTACTGTGGTATAACACAGGGAGGCATCGGTCCCGCAACTTTTTTCCTAGAATCGTTTAACAGATTTGGAACTCAGATTTGAGATCAGCGTACGGGGGTATACATCTGAGTTTGAATGGCCACTGCGAACGAGTATCCTTCCCTTGTGAGTCTAATCAGGTTGATATCCTTCTCGGTGAAGTCCAGAAAGATTCAGCTAAAACTAAGACTTCACTGCTACTCTTTTCGGGTTTTCGGTGCTCCAAGAAAGACGAGTTGCTCGTTCAAACTTGAAATATTCCTTCAATAACCATGATATATCCTTACGTGGGCCTGTATGTAGTCTGATCCTTTTTTAGCGTCATTTCGGACCACAGTCCATATGATGTTCAAGGATCAGAGATTCCCGCTCTTCATCGAACTTGAAATGACTCTGAGTAGTGCATTCAATCCCGCATTTCGAAATTCATTAGCTCTTGTCATGGCTTGAAAAAATAGTCGTTTTCTAGAAGTTGCTATTTCAAAGTCAATTCCATAAGTTTATCCTATCGGGAACTCGACTAACCAAAATTATTGTATATATAACCCAAATAATACATAGATATCACAGTATCAAGAAATTCACACAAATAATACATAGATATCACAGTATCAAAAAATTCACAGAGTTACCAAATCGTTCAACCGATATATCAGCTCAGAGCAAGTGATGCACTACCCAATTATATAAAGTTGGAACTGGAACTATTTATTTATTTATTTATTTATTTACACGTCCTTATAGACGCGCCGGCTAATCAGTACGCTAACTCAAGACAAT